AAACAAAACGTATGATCCAACGATGCACTGTTTTGCGAGTGTCATATGGACAGACACGTATCATAAGCGGGGTTCCGCATGTCATTCGACTGTTCCTTATAAGAAGTCCCAAGTACAGATTGCAGGTTACACATAAACAGAACAGATTACAAATTACGGATTTCAGATTTCAGATTGCAGATTTCAAAAGTTAGAGTACAGAGCACAGAGTACAAAATACAGATTCTCGCAATCACATCCCAATTACACATAAACAATACTCATTAGACACCATCAATAATTCCTTATCAGAAGTCGTCGGTAATTTCCTTAGTTCACGAAATCATATTACTTACATACTGTTTCAAGGTCAATAACCAATTCCCCAGCATAGCTGATCTATTTCAACCGTCAGCAAGAAGCAAATTCATAATTTTAAAAGGGGTCACTATATGCAGGATTTTTTTTTATGGCCGGTCATGCTTTACACAACCTCAATTATTACACAAAACACATCTTATCAAATATTCCAATACAGTAGCTTCTCAGGATCACCGATCTAAACATTGTTATGGCAAGAAGGATATAACTATATCATAAAAGGTAAGTATCACATATACCATTTCCTTTGATCTTAAAACTATTTCGTACTTAGAGTTTAATCAATTCACTTAAGCAGATGCTAACAGCCCAATCATATTATCATTATTTCCACAGATAACTATCAACCGATAACACAAATTTTATCTAATTATTTACATATAAACTGTCTCACCGATCATCTCAAATTCTTACCACACCTCCGCAGTACAACGTTGTTGACTTACTCCCATCTGCAAAATCTATATAAGATAAACAGAGGCAATAAAAGAATATGCAACAGACATAGATTGTAATCATCAGAAATAGCAGATAAAACATATACATTTAACATTGCCATCAATCTTTTCATGTACTTTCAGAATATTATGCATGATGCCTAAGTCTTGCTAGACATCCTAAAGCTCAATGGATTCGTGTGTGAGATCAACTCGTGCTCTGACACCACTTGTCACGCCCCAAACCCGCCCCTAAAATTTTTGGGCATGACCTATTTAGAAACAGACACTTAACATGTTATACATAACATATGGGGCCTGAACGGAAGCATTATCAATATAAAACAACATAAAACATCATCCATTGAGCTACCACTACCATGCCAGAACCGCACACATTGCATTAGGTACATAATATATAGAAACATACACCCGAACTTCGGTTATACACTTATACATTCATACTTAGACCCACAATTGGGCGTGTAACGAAAATATTAATGAAAGACAACCAAAGCATAAGCCAATAACCTAACAACACTTTACAAAATGCACGACTTTAGGTTGGTGCCTGGACGCATCAAAGTTGACAAGAGAAAGATGAGCCTTGAAGGTTAGGACTGAACTCCCGGTTGATTACCTACAGAAATAGATAGACAAAGTACAGAATGAGTGAACTCAGTGAATAATAGTACATAAATAATGTAATGTTTAACCTGAATAATAAAACATATAACTGTAGATACATATGATTAACTACATTCCGTAATTATTTCCAAAACAGCCATGGGTCTAGTTTCCGTAACAGAGTGGCTTTAAGCCCAGCATATGCAGAACAACCATAGGCCTACAGATACTGAACGACCATGGGTCCAGAAATATCAGAACGGCCATTGGCCCAGAAATATCAGAACGGCCATCAGCCCAGAAATAATAGATCGGCCATCGGCCCAGAAATAACGGAACGGCCATCGGCCCAGAAATATCAGCAGGGCTATCAACCCAAAAATAACAGATGTATCGACTCAAGAGGTGGCTCGTACGGATTCTAGAGGTGGCTCCCACCAAGGTGTAGCACTTACTTCCGTACAACACTTTGTTCCATACCAGAAAATATCAGAACAGATTAACTTCAGAATCATACAGAAAGTACACACATTCTTCCCATTAATCACATGAATAAAAAGAGATAATATAAGTTTAACAGAACGTTGCCGATAATTGTTAACAAAAGGTAAACATATTTTACTGCTTGAACGCTTTCAGAAATACGTAGATACCACCGTTCC